ATATGAAGAGTGTTGCGTAAGACCTGCCCCTCCAATGCCCACTTTGGTTTCTCGCTCTCGGGGCGATCGTCGATCACCAGAGGCGTGGCCTCTTCCTCAAAGATCTCCAATTTCCCGAGGGATTCTGCCAGTCGAGCTCTTGCCGTTTGTGGTGACATGGAGTCGACGTCCTTCTACCCACTGTTCGTGGACGTGGAAGCCATCCTTTCCCGGCGGCGAAGATCGCCCGTCGATGAGATCATCATGCGCCGTCAAGGTTCCACGCGATAACCCTAATCGCCTCCAGGAGGTTTTCTGGGTTTTTCGCTGGAAAACTGTATCGAACCCCGAGTCTATTAGATCAGCCGTGAGATTCCAGTACTATTCTTAAACCACACAAGCAAATCGTGAGGAGGCGATGCCGCGATGGTAAACTTATACTCGAGGTTTCTCTCTCTTGCATACACATAGTTAAACAACTACAAGCAAGGTGTATATTTCCACTCCAAATTATTATCGTGATGTAACTTTCGTTCTTGATTTTTTATGGATCTTCCAAAAAACATTTTTTCTATGTAAACATCACCCTTAGTTTTCATTGTCGTTTTAAGTTTACATCCCCCACAAAGTCACAATGGTCAACAATGGCTGAAACTGTTTTTGTGCAATATATGAGCCGTTCTTTCCTATCCAAACTCTAGAGAGGCAATTTTCCAGGCGCTCCCTGTTGATACCCTTCCTCCCTTGCAGGTCGCCCCCTCCCTCCATCGCCGACGTATGAGCGTGAGGAGGCTACAATAATCCAGATGAAATTGTAGTTTTCCTTGCTTTAGGGCTTTTAGTAGGGGTTTGTGGCCACGACATCGATTTGGCAAATATTTTTTTCTCAAGCTTCCCCGTATCAACTATGTCGGTTGTAGCGGTGTAGATGTTTTATTGGCGTACATTTCTTCTGATCTTTTTGTTCGATAAGCTTAGAGTTTGCGTGGATTGTCAGTGTGCCATCGGCAATGACTTTCCTTTACAGTTTGGTCCACCAGCCTCCTGCCCGTCATGTTGATGCGGGCTCCAGTGTTTGGCATGGGACCTGTGAGTTTCTTTGGAGGCCGGGACCTTGGATCAGTGGATCTTCGGGCGACGACGACTTCAACGGTTTCTTCACTAGGGCACTGATCCGACAAGATCGTGGCGTTGATGACTTCCTGTCTACGATCAACAACAACTGGCTAAATGTGATGATGGAGAGGCAGTAACGACGGTACACTCGACCTGTTTGGGAGGAAGAAGACATCCAGCCACACAGAGACCTCGATCTATTTACTTTATTTTCCACGGGTGTATGCACTACTAGTTTGATTAATTGTCATGAGACCTTTTTCCACAAGAAAACTTTTTTGCTAATGTGGTCTTATTTTGATGGCATTTGGCCAATAAACAAGTCAAGGTGGCAATGTGCAATTTTCTTACCAAGTACATTTTTCTGGCAAAAGACTGTACATGCATTTTACAAAATCTAGAGCATAAGGGACCGACATGGTGCCGCACCGGTGTGTGCAAAGATTAATAGGAAGTGGGGTGAGAGGAAAACCATGATGATGATGGTGTGTGGTGTGTTTGTGGCATACAAGTAGGGGAGGGGGGGAGAGATGAATGTGTTTGGGTGGACACGATGATAGGACGACACGGTGGAAATGCATAACGGAAACACGACAAAAACTAGTATGTATTTGCACAAAACATGAAAATTCATGGTATTGAAATTTAAAGATCAAGTAGTCAATCAAATTATACTTTATAAAAAAACATGAAAACCACACTATCGCAAACAATGGAGGAAGAATGATATACCCATCTTTTTTTAGAGTAAGATACACTTAGAAAATCTTTCTTTTAGAACAGTAGGATACATTCATCTAAAAAATGTGAACAATTTTTGAAATCTTGATTATTTTTTAAAGTGCTAATAAGTTTTGAAAATTCCGAATATTTTTTGGAAACTTGAATATTTTTTGAAATCTCACAAAAAAATGAAAAATCAAAGATAATTCGGAAAAAACATAAAACATTTGAAAACATTTTTTTTGTAAAATTGATCAAATATTCAAGTTTTTGATACATTTTTCTAAAAATTAGGAACAATTTATTTAGATTACATACAAGTTTTGGAAAGTCGAGAACATTTTTCGAATTTGTGAACCAACTTCGGAATCGTGAATTTTATAAAGTTCTGAACAAAAACATTCAAAAACATGAATATTTATTGAAATTTTGATTTTTTTTCTCCTGTACAAAGCGTAAACAGCCGCCAGAATGGGCCAGCCTAGCGTTAACCCTATGCCTTTAGCGCTCCTTTCCAAAAAAATTGCATTCATTTTTTTGCTTCATTTTCTTTACATTTGCTAATATGTTGAAATATTCTAAATATATCTATTATAGAAAACACTTTACATATAAATTTCAAATAACTTAATCATGAATTTTAAAATTATTAAGAAAATGTTTATAATGTAGATGAAAACTGTAGAGTGTGTATGAAACAAATT